GAATAGCAGGGCCTGGAGGCCCCGGTTGGGGCGGGAAACTGGAGGGCGGATCAAGGGCTGAGGGAGGAGCCTGGGCGGGGCCGGTTGGGGGCCTGGAGTCTGGACCCGGGAGCGCGAGCGGGAGGAAGAAGGAGGGACAGGGCGGGGTGAAGCTTCCCCTACCAACGGAGGGAGAGGGACTGGAAGGGGATAAAGGATGAGAGGACCAGGCGAGGGCAGGGGGAGGGGTTTCCGGCCAGAGGCGGAGGCGAGGGATGCGGGCGGGGTCCGAGGGCGGGGCCGGGTGGGGCGGGACCCTGCCAGCGCCCGAAGCGCTGGCGGTTTGTGCCTTTGAGGTCTCCTGACTGGACTGTGCTGGGGTTGCCCGACTGGGCGGCCTAGAGATGAGGCCACCAAAAGGCTCCTATTCTTTCCTGCCAGGCGCCAGGGCAGTGGCGATGACCTGGTCCTCTTCTCTCAGGAACCTCCTGGCAGGGCCGGGCCTGGAGCTTGAGTCTTGACCGGAGAGTAACGGGAAGACCTGAGGCTGGGGGACTGGGCTACAGAGTGCCTTTGGTGGAGGTTTCTGCCCTTGGCTCTCGGGGGTCCCCAAATGCAGAGTTCTCCAGCTTTCGTTGGGCATTGCTCTGAACTGTCCTCCTCACTAGTTCCAATGTCTCCCACCTCCATCCAGTGGTGATTTTACAGCCTTGACAACCCTTTCTGGGGAGTTCAATGTCAAGACCAGCAGAGAATGATGTTAGTTATACCTTGAGCCCTCATTTTACACTTAGAGAAACAGACCCAGAGAGTGAAAATGACTGACTACATCCCAGCCTCCAGCACTACCATCCCCATTCTCTTCTCCCTTAGCTCTAAGGTGAACCCTGCCCCCAAGTCTTAGCAGGAAGAATTAAGTGCCTTTGGGACCAATGGTGGCCTCCTTTGCCTTAGCTGCCATAGCAGCTACACCAGTTGACTGAGTTTCACTGCTTCTGCTAGTCCACAGGCTTCCAGCCATTTCCAACCCTATATGGAAAAATGGCACCACATGATTTTATTGTCTCAATTTGCAGAGCCCTGCAGCTAACCCCATGGCTGAGGACTCAGAAGATCCTATATCTAGAAACTCAGATTCCACCTGCAAAGAGACCAGGGCCCCTGGGGAGTTCATGTCGCACAGAAGCAACATGGTGGAGGTAACCCAGGGAAGAGATGACAGGCTGCTAGCTCTAGGATGTGGGGTGGGGATGGAGGGATATGAATAGATTCAAAATACATTTTAGGGGCAGAACAGGTTTGTTTGTTTGTTTGTTTTTGTTTTTGTTTTCAGATGGTGGATTGGATGTTGTAGGTAAAGAAAGAATCAAGGATATGACATGGGTTTTTAACTTGAGCCCAAATTGGTGGTGCTATTTACAAAGATGATGAAGATAGGCGAAAAACAGTTTTATTTGGTATTGGGGATTAGAAACTCTGTTCTGGAGAAAGTGAGTTTGACATATCTGTTAGGCATCTGTGTGGAGATATGAGGAGGACGAATGGAGATAAAATCTAGAGTTCAGGAGAGAAGGGCAAGCTGGAGATACAATATTGGGATTCAGTATGTAGCTGATAATTAAACCATGGTATTGAAAAGGGTAGGGGCAAAAAAAAATCTCCTTCCACATTGAGAGGTCTGGTCGAAGAAAAGGGGTTAGCAAAGGAGACCTATAAGAAGCAGCCAATGTGTAGGAAGAAATAAGGAGAATGTGTTGTGGAAGTTAAGATTTCAAAGAGGGTAGATCAACAAGAGTCCGCTGACCAGTGATGAAGTCGTGCCCTGGAAGCCGGAAGACTGAAAAACCCTTCCACCGCCCCTTCCCCACCCCCCGCGCCCCCCACAAGACTGTCCTGTAAGCTTAGGGGCTGTAAAGGCAGGAGGGCAAAACTTAGAGAGAAAGGACTATAAAATAGAGGTGAGGGGCCCTTTTAAGTATCAAGAGATAACGCTGAAAATGCATTTTGTAAACCGCCCAGTCCTGCGCTAATATCATTGTTGTTTTTATTAATGAGCAGGAGACTGGACTGAGACAACCCGTGAGAAAGAGCTGACAAGACATGAGAGTTCTCAAGGAGGAAATTTTGTAATGAAGAAAATCCCGCTCCTTCTGAGAGCTTGAGTCAAAACCAAGCTTCGGGTTGGGCGAGAAGAGCCAGCAGTATTGCGCTTCGCTGGGAACTGATCTCACGGAAGCAGAAGCGAGCAGAGTTACAGAGTGGTGCTAACCAAGGCTGCCCCAAGCGAAAGATGAGGAAGTGCGGCCTTAGATGTAAATAGTCTCTCTGGCTCCGCCTCCTTCCTCCATCGGCCAATCAGTATCCAAGTGACAGGAGAGCTGCGCTGGGGAGAGGAAGCGAGCGGAGCCTGAGGACCGTTAATCCACCCGGAGGCGGTGTCCAGTTATTCAGTCTATTACTACAAGGACTCACTGTTGCTGCTCTTACAAAAATCAGGGTGGGCATATAATCACTTTGGAAAAAGCTCTGGCAATTTCATATGAAACTAAATACACATCTATTCTATGACCCACTAATCTCTTTAGAACAGGCATTTGTTCAAAATAAAGCATAAATCCACAGAAAGCCCAGATAGTCATCAGCTTGAAAATGGATAAACTGGTATCCCCATACAACGGAATACTATTCAGAAATAAAAAAGAACCACCAACTGATACACATAGCAACGTGGAGGAATCTCAAAACCATTATGCTGAGTGAAAGAAGCCTGTACACACAAGAATACATATCGTATGATTCCATTTATAGGAAGTTCTAGAACAAGCTAAAATCTATGATGAAAACAAAATCAGAACAGGGGGTGCCTAAGGACTGAGGGCAGGGATTGACTGCGAAGGGGCATGAGGAAACTTTCTAGATGATGGTAATGTTCTTAGAACTTTGTACAATGAAGGAAATGCCCCTGTCTATGCTGTCCACATGTGGCTATGAGCACTTGAAGTGTGACCAGTACAAATGAAAAACTTAATTTCATTTAATTTTCATGACTTTAAATTTAAAAGTAGCCACATGTGGCTGGTTGCTACCCTATTGGATAGCACAGTTCTATATCCTGATAAGGGCTTGAGCCTCACAGGTATATGCATCTGTCAAAACTTCTGTCACAATAAGCCCAAGATTTGTGCATTTTACTGTATGTAGAGTTTACATGCAAAAGGTAAGCATAAACTCCAGTTAATGCAATGTATGTTGAAGTGGTTAGATGTGAAATGTGCTGTCGTCTGCTACTTTGAAATGCATAACAAAAAATGGATGAATGAATAAAGGGATGGCTAAATTGTGAGATATGAAATATGACAAAATATTAATTATAGAATCTTGGTGACAGGTATGTGGATGTTCATTATAAAAGTCTTTCAACCTTTCTGTATATGTTGGAATATTTTCAGAATAAAATGTTGGTACCAGGGCTGAAAGGAGAGAGGAATGGGAAGTTATTGCCTAATGGGTACATAGTTTCTATTTGGTATGATGAAAATTTTCTGAAAATAGATAGTGGTGATGGATTTACAACACTTAAATGTAGTTAATGGCAATTAATTGTACACTTAAAATAGTCAAAGTGGTAAATTTTATATTGTCTATTTTACAATTAAAAAAATTAAAAGCCAAAAGAAAAATAAATGTTGGGGGAAAATCCATGTAAAAATCCATATGTCTTCTCTAGAGGTAGTCTGGGGTACTGCGCAGAGAGAAAGGGGAAAGGAGCAAGCTGTGTGAGTGTATGCTAGGCCTGCTAGAAGTAAAAGATAGTGAGAAGAGAACACAGGATTTGGAAACAGACAGACCTGGGGCTATAATCCCAGCTCTTTCACTTTCTAGTTGTATAACTGTGTTTGTTTCTTATTGCTATTGCTGCTGTAACAAATTACCAGACATTTAGGAGCTTAAAACAACACAGATTAATTATGTTGCCATTCTGGAGATCTGAAATGTGTCTTACTGGGCTAACACCAAAAACTGTGTTCCTTCTTGATATTCTAGGGAGGAATCCACTTCCTTACCTTTTCCAGCTTCTAGAAACCTCCTGTATTCTTTGGCTTGGCTCACGGTCTTTCCCTCCATCTTCAACACCAGCAGTAACGTCTTCAAATCGCTGTCTCTCTCTCTTACACTTACACACACACACACACACACACACACACACGCACACACGCCCTCTGCTTC